TAAAGCCAGCCCTGTTCTCAGTTCAGTCTTGGCATAAAGAAATAATGGTCCATCAGGAAATTAAAATAATCCAAATCTTTGTGTACCTCTCACTAAAATGCCACACAATGAGTAAATAAAACTTCTTAAAGCAAGATAGAGAATATAAGTTGATTCAGAGTTCAAATTTTAATGTGTGACAAGGGTTTTGGTGGCAGGCCTGGAAGCTGACCCTGGCTGGCAACACTCCAGGCAAAAAGACAAAGATATAGCTGAGGAAGAAGGCCCAAAGAGCAGCTGCCATAGTCCTAATGAATCGCAGTCAAGAACAGGGTGAGGAGGGTGGTCTGGTAGCCACTGCAGTGTGGAGGTCCAGGAAGGGTGCCTAAAGAGCCAAACTCTGAGAATGTGGGCCTACAAAATATACTTGGTTAAGAAATGGTTCATGTTACAAAATGACTATTTGCAAAGTTAATATACTTTTGACATACTTTCACAATTTTTTCAAAAACTTAATTATGTGCAAACTTTCAGAAACCCATCAAAAGCAAGATCAATTTGTAATAACCTGTGCTGAAAATAACCTGTACTCACAGCATAAGTAAATCATCTTTATTAACAGAAACACAGGAAGAAAGCCCAAGAGAAGACATGTTTCTATTACAAATGCTTCTTCATTTTTATTGTCCCCACCGAGACAGTAAAGAGCTGGGAACGGAATGTTATAACCCTGAAGACAGCATCCGGTTCCTCACCTACTACCTACTCATGTAGGACCTGATTTCCTACACAGAGTCTTCTGCATATCTAAGGTTTTAGGGAATGCAGTAGGTATGTTCACACACATCCATGATGAACAAGTTTCCTTTTTCAGACTCAAGGCCCCTTGGAGCCAGGCCCTCCTCCATAGTCACAGGGTTCTACAGTCACCACTACTGAAGTTCTAAGAAGCCTCAGAATGTCCCACAGCCTTCCTGTTCCATAGCCATGCAGTGGCCCAAGCAGAAGTGAGAATACTTTCTCTTCTTCCTTCTCTATTTTGCTAGAATATCAGTGGCTTCCAAGGTCATATGGTAAAAGTCATTCCATGTATGATATCCACAGCTCCCTCTGCACTTGTCCACAGGGGCTGGACCACCAAGTTTTGCTGGTGGATTTTTTCACCTCTCAGACAAACTCTCTCCCTGCAGACTTGTGGCAGGCACGACCCACCGGGGCACCAGCTCTTGATCCAGCCACCATCCAGAGCTGGAAACAGCTCAGGCTAAGTTAAGAATCTTGAGCCCTTCTCTCCTCCTGAGACCTGCTCCCCCAGCACAATAGCTATACAGAAATAAAACTCACAAAAGCCCACAAGGACCCATAACATACCAAAAGACCAAGCTAGGGTCAGAGGGCTAGCTTCTTGAGCTGCATCTGAGAAGATATTCCTACTTTTGGAGAAGAGTGGCATCAGCAAAGGATATGTTTTAAAAACAAAGCAAGAATGGATGTGTGGTGCATGCCTGTAATCCCAACACTCAGGAGGCTGAGACAGGATGATTATGAGTTCAAGGCCTGTCTGGGCTATATAGAAAGACCCTTTTCAGGAAAAGAAAAAAAGAAAAGAAAGGAGAGAGGAAGGGAAGAAGGGAGGGAGGGAGGGAAGGGAGGAAGAAAGGAAGGAAGGAAGGGAGGAAGGGAGGAAGCAAGGGAGGAAGGAAAGAAGGAAGAGAAAAAGCTAGGACATTTCTGACAGAAGAGAACCTAAAGGAGCAGATTTGAGATAGAGAAATGCCACACCCCTGCACTACAGTATCCCAAACAGCCACCAAAGTGCAAAAAGATGTACAAATCCTTGAAAAATTTCATCAGCCACATGGACTCCCCACTGGGAGTGACTTCGAGCAGCTAACACCAGAAGTGCTTAGGAAACCCAAAGATGACTCTTGGTAGTCAGGCTCCTGTCATTCGCTTCCCCATAGTAGAGATCATCACGCTAGGGCTGGCCAGTGAGCATGACATTCATCATAAGCAAACCTCACTATGTAGCCCAGGCTGATTTGGAACTCTCCATCCTCTTGCCCCAGCCTCCCAAGTGATGGGATTACAGACATGTACTACCATACCTGGTTCCAAAGTACAATTTCCCTCTATTCAGTACAGTCATGTGTGTGTCTCCCTACCACTCCCTCAAAATTTCCCTTTGATGTCTGAGGTCAGAGACTAATTCATACTAGGTGCTCAACAGATTATTTGTTGGATGAAATCTTGTGCAAATAAGATAAATTTAGGGGTCGACTTCTTTAGCGTCTCCTTATTTGTTGAAGAAAATTGATATGACATTGACAAATTACTGTAAGTCAGGACACAGGAAATGTGAAGGAAGACTTCCAAAGAATGACATGATGGTGCTGGAAATCTCAGAGGACAAACCCTCCACTGCTGATGGTAGGGAATGAGTGGTTGTGGTGATGGGAGAAGCAATTAGGAGTGAGGCTGGACTGAGGCTGAGGAACAATGCAGAGCCATTTGCAAAAGTTCCTTCCGTGGGTCACCCGTGGTTTGCATTGTACATGTGGTCAATGAAAACTCCTAAGAATCTACAAGCCAGCCCACCAACCCCACTGTGGCCGTTTTTAAAAATAGCCACAAATTCTTTGATATTCCTTTTATTGAGAGGAGGAGGTCCATGTGTCCTTCCCTTGAATCTGGGTAGGTATGTGACCATCATATACAGTGGAAGTTATGGCTGTGACTTCCAAGGCTGGGTGGGAGATGATAATGCAGCATCTACTTATTTACTGAAACTCTCATGCTTGGAGTCCTGAGCTGTCCTCTAAGAAGTCCACCCAAGCCTAGGCTAAGGCCAGCCGTGAGGATCCAGACCATGTGGAAAAGCTACATGCAGGTACCCTGGTGAGCACATCTCTTTCAGACCTCTGCCCAGGTGCCACTCAGGCAAATGAATGAGCCTTACAATGACTTCAACTCTCAACTCTCCAGACTGTGAGTCTTCCCCTCATGAGACTCCAGCCATCATAGGCCTGCCCAACACCCTGCCCATATAACCCATGGAGCATAATAAAATGGTGGTTGTTTCAAACCGGTAGGTTCTGGGGGAGGTGCTGCATAGAAATAATAACCAGAATAGGATACGGGCAGTCAGTCCCCTGTGATTCCCTAGTCCCTCCACCCAGGAAATCCTTTGCCTTTTAAGCTATTTCCTGGTAGGAAAAGAGCAGTCATTCATACATGATTCTTTTGAGGAAATAACTGGGTTTTAGTGTCTTCTAGTCAAGCTTTACAGAGCCCTTCTGTCAGGGGGAAGCCAGGCCCTTGCCTAGTCTGATCTGGTCACCTCCTGCCTGTCTCACGCAGCTCTTCTGCCAGTAGGCCAAGAGTCTCCAAAAAACAAAGAGATGCTTCACTCCCTGGGGTCACCTCTCCATGAGCCGTTTCCTAGGGAAAGAAATAAGGCTCTAAAAACATTGTCAATGTCATCATTAAGAAGGACTGATTGGATGTCAAACAGTCAGACACGAGGCCTAAAGCTCATTTCTAACTGACCACAATCCAGTTTCCCTGTGACTGAATCATCTCTATCACAAGACTGTTTCCCCATCTTCTTATTCCCCCTCCAGCAGACCTGTGAAGTGCCCACCCACATTCACATAAACATCACACACACACACACACACACACACACACACACACACTCACACACACACACACACATCAACACTACAATTCTCCTGGCTCATCCCCTCCCTTCCCACTGCCTCCGCCCATTTCAGTGATAAATCCTGATACAGAAATATCTAACCCAAATTCTACTTCCATCAAGCGCATCAACTTTCTTAAACCCCTTTTCTTACAGTCTTTGAAAGCCTCCTGTCCACAAGGAGGGGACTAGACAATCCATCTTCCCCAAGGTCAGTCCTGGTTTTATACCCCTTTCATGCTCAAAAGTGCCCCAACCTGGGCAATTTACATTATTCTCCCTAGCTTTGACTCCTATCACTTTATCCCTGGCCCTCCTTTTAATGAGACAACCCCCATCTAACTTCTCTATGGGAATCTCGAGCAAGAGCACACCATTCTGGGCTCCATTCTGCCTCCTGTCTGCCATGCCATGACGGGAGCTGCTGGGCCATGCCGAGCCAGTCATGATGGACTGAAACCTTTTAGTGGCCCTACTGCCTGATTACTAACCCCTCTGCAAATTGAAGGACAAAAGATGTCCTGTGCTGAGAAAATTACCTGTCTAAATGATTAAAGAGTTAAAAGGCCCTCGTATGGTTTTATGAATCTGCCTCCCCACCCTCATGGGGGGAGGTAAGAAAGCTTCATTTAGGCACTGGATTTTTTCACTTCTATTAAATTCAAATAGTTTTTATCATCAGTCACTCCCAACAAAACAAACAAGAAAACACCATTCTGTTTCTTATAAGCTGCCTCGGGTCATGTACAGTGGGCTTGTTAAATGCAGCGCATTTTTCTGGTTTGTCAGTATCATAATCTAAACCACCTCATTTATATTTAATAAAAAGCAGAAAGTGAATAAATGAACAGGTGATGACCATTGTCCTTTCTAGACCTCCTAGTTTTTAAGAGCTTCTATGAGAATACATAAATACTGGACCCAATTCAGGGTAGCAAAATCTTCCAGTTTAGAAATTTCTGGTTGCCAAAGTTCCAGAAACTGCTTTCTCATTCCGTACGTAGCCTTGCAATTTCTCGAGTTCTCAATTACATAACGGCGAGCTGAGGTTCTGGACCGATTTCCCAGTAAAGATGATGTTTATATCAATGAGCAACCTCAAGGAGCCGTGACACGCGGAGGAGGATTCAAGGCTAGCGATTAAGCGAATCTCAACTCGTTTGAGGCGGTGACTCATTCCCCGCGGGCCTGGGAGCGCCGCACCCTGTAAGGTAACCGGGAACCGCCTCCCCGCCGCGTGCGCGCGTGGCTGCGCGGCCATTGGTCCCGCGCCACCTCCGCCCGCCAGCTCCGCCGCCTCGAGTTCCCGCCCCGCCCGGCCCCGCGCCTCCTCCTGCGTGCGCCCTGCGCGTCGCAGGCTCCAGCGCCAGTTGCCGACAGCCGCGGCGCCGCGAGCTCGTCTTCTCCCTGCCTAGGCGGGTAAGCACCCCATGCGGGCCGGGGTTGCGGGCCCGGGTTGCGGGCCCTAGGGATTAGGGTGCTGCGGAGGAGCCACGGAGGCTGAGAGTGACACCCCGAGGCCAGCCCGGGTCCGCACAGGGACCTGGGCGGTGGGCAGCGGCTGGGGCTCCCCGCGTACGGTCTGTCGGATGACGCTGCTTGGCTTGGTTTTTCAGATTAGGAGAAGCCTCCCCCCACACACCCTTTCATTCGCAAGAGCGAGATGACGAATCCCCCTGGACGGGTGTTGGTGGAACCGAGGTGTAGTCGTCCCCCTCCCTTTCCCCGCAGTCCCGTGGGTGTGGGGATGGGCGAGTCGCGTGGCCAGAAGGGCCGCAGGTTCGAGAGGGGTTGTGGGGACGGTCATCCGCGGCCGGGGAACCCAGCGAGGGCCGTTAATGGCTCGGCTGGAGAGCTCAGAGAGCAGATCCAAAGAGGAGGTCCCTAGGGTCCGCGGGGCTCTTGGCTCCCCGCCAGTTGGCCGTCCCCGGAGCCTGCGGGCAGAGGCCGGGTCGCCCCCCGCTGCCCAGAGGGTACACCAGGGAACGAGGAGGCGAACGCCGGGTCCCGGCCTCCCGCCGCCGCGCGCCTCCCTGGAGGCCGCCCCGCCCTTGAGCCTGGCGGTAGGCGGGGTCCCGGGGGAAGCCGCAGCCCCGCCCCTCTGGCAATCTCCTTGGACCCGGAGGGGGCGGGGCCTCGGCGGGGCGGGGTCTCAGGCAGGCTCCGCCCTCCGGTCTAGCGGCCGGCCGGGGTCGCCTACACTCTTGAGCTGGGTGGGTTCACTGCCAGGCAGGGCTCTTCCGGAGGTAGTCTGTCCCGCTCCACGTGTGACCGCAGCTGCGCTGTCCCTCTGGAGGGACAGAACCCGGCCGCCCCAGGGGCCCCGGTCGGTCCTAGGGCAGCAGATAACCAGCTGTGCAGAGTCGCTGCTGTTTTTCAGTTTGATATACGATGCAATGCAATTTCACCAGGGTTCCTTTCATGTCTGCATTACTTTCTTGTTAAGACTGTCACGGCTTAATAAGTAGTTGCCCAAGTGCTAAACATTTGGCATGTTTTCCTTTTCCTTAGAAAAAGTCCAGGTAGAATAGGATTAAAGATTTGTGTAAATCTGATTATCCAAAAAATAAAAACAGAAAACTGAGTAAAATGTCAGACGTTTGGAAAAATTAACAACTCGGATTTGAAAAAGGAAAAAAAATCAAGGGAAAGGAACTGTTTTACCTACACACACTGAGAAGTTCTGGAAAGGGAAAGAAAGCAGAAACTTAGGTTGTGATTTGTATATTTATTTGTATCCGACACAGGCTTTCCATATCTGTGAAAGGGAAATATCAAGATTATAATATATAGTTAGATGATGAGTCATTTTCAGAATAACATGCAAATGAAAGCAAATTTTGGGTTATTGTTTTTACATCTATTAAATTAACAAAAACAACAGGAATAGCTGCTCCTACTGGAAGGTTGCCTGCAACTTGACAGATTGAAGCTTCCAGGCAGGTAGGTGGCAGAGGGTTGGGGTTAGGAAAACGACTCTGCAACCAACTTTGCGCCTCTGGACAGGTTGCCTAATTTCCTGACCCTTCTTTTGTCCATTCATAAAAAGGAGAAAATATGCCTGCTTCCTGGTTTTGCCCAAAGATTGCCTGTATGTGAAACTGACTTGGTATGTGGGCTTTATTCTGTTTTTTGTTCACACCCCACCAGGGACAGTGTGAATCAGTACAAACCTTTTATAAGGCAATCTGGTGATGCATTATTAGTTGAAAGCCTGACCCAGAAATCCCTCTTGAGGAAATTTGCCTGCAATGGAAGAAACAAACAAGGTGGTTGTTGTTTTTCTTAAAAAGAAAAAAAAAAAGAGAGAGAAAGAAAGCTGTGTGCTAAACTGAATACCCTAAAATTAGAACCAATTGAGAAACAACCTAAATGTATAACAGCAGAGGAGCTAAGAAAATCATGACACATTAACTGAAAGGAACCTTATGTAATGGTCAAAACAGAAAAACTGGCAAGTCAGAATGCAGTTTACTAAACTGTATCTACTTATACATGCATATAAATACATATGTGAAAACTCTAAAATGAAAGTATTAATAGAGATTTTGTATGATCTTAATTTTCTTTTTTGTCGATGTATTTCTTTTACTAAATAACATTTTTAAAATAGTTTACAGATATTTTTTCTGTGCTGGGGATCAAACCCAGGTTTGAATTTTTAAAATGAAATGGACCCACAGTTTTCTGTGTGTTAGAGAAAAAGGGAAATATTGTTGCCATGTTTGCTTCTTAGAATAAAACACTTTTAGTTGACCTTATTTTTCAAATACTGTTCCATTTTTTGTCTTGAGCAGATTTATTAATGGCCTAGTTATTTGTATATTAGATTTTTCTTTATAAGGATCAGTTCTTAAATCATTTACCAATTCTAGTTTTCTTTTTTGTTGTTGTTTTGAAGGACTCCTGATACTTTTCAAAACTGAACAATTTCAGCTAAGCCACACCATTCTGTCTTTGAGAGGGATCAGTCCAGTTTAGGGAGCCACACAGATCGTAAGTACCTGTGGAACCTCTTTGGTCTTGTGATGGTTGAGATAACCACCAGTCACAGGAAGTGGGCATCCGGAAAGGCTTGATTGCCAGCCCTTGCTCCAAAGGCCATTTGGTAATATATAACATACCTAATTGTATCTTTGTTTCTTATAAAATCAATTTGATTTGGCAGAGCAAAGTACCACAGCTTTCTGTAGAAATTCAGAATTTCTGCTGAATTGTGTAAAAGAGCAAGTGTTTTTAAAATAATGTAATAATAAAATAACAGCATAAACATTTCTGACAAAATTGTCCGTGAGCATGACTCTCAACCAACTGACAAAGCCAAGGTGAATGGTTTTTCTAAGCTGTAGTGTTAACTTACCTATTCCAGATCTTATTTCTTTTTCTAAGGCAGCCATACCAGCTGTGAACTGCTGCATATTAAACATTTAAAACAAGCCTGTATCTAACCGGGGTTGGCTGCTGCATTATAAACTAACCCCTACATGAACAGTGTGTGCAGCAGCTCTTACAGCTGGGAGAATTCTTATCTGGATTTGTTAAAATCCTTTTTGTGCTACTTGTTGCTGTTGTGGTACTGTGTGATCCCTTCAAGAGGGTGTCCTCCTGTGAAAAGCATTATAAACATTAAAAGTGTTAATTCCTGAGGGCTTAGAAGCCTGGCTACGAGTGCCAATTCCCTGGGAAGCTCTTATAGCTTCTGAAATCCCATCAGTCCTTCTTTTTTTTCTTTTTTTTTGGCAGGACTGGGGTTTGAACTCAGGGTCTCACACTTGCAAGGCAGGAGCTCTACCACATGAACCGCGCCTCCAGTCAGTTTTGCTCTGTTTATTTTGAAGATGGGGTCTTGTGAACGATTTGCCAAGGCTTGAGCTGCTGTCCTCCCCATCTCAGCCTCTCATATAGCTAGGATTACAGAAGTGAGCCAGCCTAGATTGAGTGGGGTGCTGACAGTGTGTCGTGCAGTTCCTCAGGTAATTCGGATGATAGGCTGAGTTGAGAGCTCTTTGACCTATTCAAGCTACGACTGGTCTCACAAGTACAGTACAAAAAACCAAAGTACCGTAAATTTTTTTTTCCAAACTTCTGTATAGCTTGCATTATATTCTTTAAGAGTCAATGACCTCAAAAGATGAAAATACAACAAATGAATTTTATTTAGCACAGAGAGATAGGAAATTTCCTGGGGGAAATTGTGTGTGGGAGGCAGGAATACCATTTTACCCTTGCCGCTTCCCAATTTAACCAATTAAATTTCAACTTGTAATGTGTTGTTCTGAGTATCACTAGTTCAGCTGTTGGCACACTGCCTTATGGGCCGGAAGACTGGTCACTACGTTTAGATCTCAGCTCCATCACCATTGTCCTGGGCGGTTATGACGTTGGAACAAGTTCTTTCAAGTCCCCATCATAAATGGGAATCACATATAAAAGGGGTAATTTCTGGATCTTTTTGTATCTTCTCTTTTGTTCCGTGGCTCTGCCATTCTGCTCTTGCAACCAGTGCCACCTGATCTTACTCTGGCTTGCATTCTAATACCTGGCAGGCCCAGTACGCACTGGGTTTTTCTTCTCATTCAAAGATTTCTAGCAGAGTGGCTCAAGTGGTAGAGTACCTTCCTAGCAAGCATGAGGATCTGAGTTCAAACCCCAGTACTGCCAAAATATAGATATATTTCTTTAGTCCTTTTAACTATTTTTTTCTCAGTGCTGGGGATCAAACCCAGGGCCTCATGCATACTGGGCAAGTGCTCTAATATCGGGCTACACCCCAACCAAGACCATTTAATTTGGGGCATTGTTTTACCGAGTTTAAAATCCTCTTTGAATTCTGATAAAATTGTGATAACTTCATGGAGTATTTGAAGATGACTTGGTATCTTTCTGAATTGGTTTTCCTGACTAAAAACCATGAATGATGTTTTCCTCTTTCTTCAGTCTTGTTTTTTTGTAATGTCTCAGTAAAATGTTTTAACTTTCCTCATCTAAGACCTACTGTTTATTTTGAGGTTAAATCCTGGGTATTCTGAATTTCTTATTGCCATTACAAATAGAATGTTCTCCACACTAAGTCTTCTGAACAATTACAGCTAATTTAGGAACTCACTGGTTTTTACATGTTCATTTCAAAAATTGCCACTGTAATGAGCTCCTTTATTCTAAGGTCTTTTGGAATGATTTTCCAGATAGAAAATCACACCTATATGTACTTCCAGAACAATAAGAACAATAGGGTTGTGTTGCTTTTCACATTAATGGGAATTCCTTTCCTCTTAAAATTATGATAGGGTGTGGGCCTCATCTTTATGACAGTCTTTTTAATTTCCTTTTCCTTTTTTGGTGCTGGAGCTCAAACCCAGAGCCTTATACAAGCTAAGCACACACTCTGCCACTGAGCTCTGTCCTTAACCCCCTCTACAAACTTGTTAAAAATAGGTTGAACTTTTTAAAACTCAGGAATAGATCCTGATTTTAACTGAAAACTTCTCAACATCTACAGAAAATGTTTTTTTTTTTTAACTTGACCTATGACTAGATTGCCTGATTTTTAGTTATTCTTTTATTCCTAAAATAACCCTTATTGGTCACAGCATATCCTTCCTTTACGAAACTGATTAAACTCAGTTCTCTGGACGTCCATACCCATATTGCTGGAGGCTGGGGAGCAAGGTGGCTGGATGCCAGTTTTCATATAGGGTTTGGATGGTGAAGATGCCCAAATATTTATCTCTACTGAGTTCCAGATTCTCACAAATGCCCAAACTGATATTCCCTCTTGAATGTCTCAGAGATGTGGCAAAGTTTACACGTCCAAAATAAAACTCTTGCTTTTGTTGCCCAAACATGGCTCCACCAGTTTCTCCTAGTTCAGTGATGGCCTTGCCACCATCCACTGGTTATAAAAGCCACACGGCTGGGCAACTCATTCCTCTACTCTGTCAGCAAGTCTTACTGGTCTTTCTTCAAAGTATAGCTCATGTATTCACAGCTGACCAGCTGTATCAAAACCAGCCCAGGCCATCCTGCCATGCTCCTTCAGTAATTTTCTAACTGGTCTCCTCATTTCCAGCCTTGTTCAACTAAATTTTCTTCCTTGCACTGCAGTTAGCCTGAGCTTTAAAAAAAATGTGTGTGTATATATGACCGTGTATATATGACCATATATATATATATAGTGTTACTGCCCTACTAACACCCTCACCCCCCTCTCCAGTCTCAACAGTTCACTTTTTCTCTATCTCATAAGGCTCCAGACACTCAATACTCAATATCCTTTTTGGTCATTGAACTCTCCCGCCAAGCTATATAGCTCGCCATTGTGACCTCAGTCCCTAGCATGATGCTAGAATACTAGAAAACATTTAAAATATGTATTATGATGGGTGTGGTGATACATGCCTGTAATCCCAGCACTTAGGTGGCAGAGGGAGGATTGTGAGTTCAAGGCCAGCCTAGAATATATATTGAGACCCTGTCTCAAAAACCAAGGGCTGACCAAGCACCAGTGGCTTACACCTATAATCCTAGCTGGATTGGGAGGCTGAGATCGGGAGGATTGTGATCCTAGGACAGCCCAGACAAATAGTTCACAAGACCCCCATTTCCAAAATAACCAGAGCAAAATGGACTGGAGGTGAGGCTCAAGGAATAGAGCTCCTGCTTTGCAAGCATGAAGTCCTGAGTTCAAACCCCAGTCCATCAAAAAAAGGACTGGAGTTGCTCAGTGGTAGAATGCTTGCCTCACATGTTCAAGGTCCTGGGTTTGATTTCCCCCAGAACTGCAAAAAATAAATGAGTAACTTACAAATGAATGAAATCTGTATTAATCTAATTACATTAGTCTTGGTTTTTTTCATTGCTATAACAAAATACCCAAAGTTGGGTAATTTATAAAGAAAGAGGTTTGTTTAGCTCACAATTCTGGAGGTTCAAGAGCCAGGTGCCAGCATCAGCTTGGCTCTAGGGAAAGCCTGATGGCTGGCACCATGATGGTGGAAATATATGTAGAGGAAAGAGATCACATGACCAGACAGAAAGCCAAAAAAGCAATTCAGGGCTTGGGCTCACTCTTGTAACAACTTTTTAGCTCACCCATTTGAGAACTTCCTTAATCCTTTCTGAGGTCAGCACCACCAATGATTTAAGGACCTCCCACAAGACCCCTCCTCTTAAAGATTCTGTCACCTCCCAACATCACCACACTGAGGACCAGATCTCTTAACACATGAACCCTTGAGAGACAAACCACATCCAAAAAATAGCATAACCAACAAGTTATTGTATTATAAATATTCCATTAAAATATGTAAAAATTTTAACTACTCTTTTCTCCATTTTGTCTATGGTTATTGGTCAGTTCTAATTTTCTGTTTATTTTAAAAGGATACATACTAGCTCCATAAATATTTCTTGAATGGATTAGTTCTAATTTGATTATTATAATTTATATTTTAATGGAAAGACCATCCACCTCACACAGATTTTTGATTCATAAAAAAAATACAATGTATGGTTACTTATCATCCTTTAAAGCTTTCTCTTAGTTATTTCCCTTTCCCATTCCCAATATGAGCTGCTGTGTTTTCTAGTGACATGTATATCTATTAAATTTCAGGTACCTCTTTATTTTATTTAGAAAGTTCATGTGTTCTGGGTTTTATTTATCAAATTCTATTTATTTCTTTCACTGATTTATAACTATGACAGTTTATTTTGAGATTTTCTCTTTCTGTTTTCTTTTTTGAGCTGGATAATCATTTAATTTACTTTCACACCACCCATGCTCCTCTGATAGCTCTGTGGGTTCCTGTGTCCCCACCACTCTGCATCATCCAAATTCGTTTCTTGGGGGGAGAGGGTATGTCATTAAGTCTTAATGGTTTTGAATACTTTTCATATTCGTTTGGGTTTCCTACTTCTATAAATTGTTAATTTCCACCTTTCAGCCATTTTTCTAAGGAATTACCAGCTCTCGTTGCTTTGGAAGTCCCTGTAGATTGTAGAAATGAGTCCTCTGCTGGCTTAAATACTCGAATACCTCTGCCTTTCACCATTAAGCACTTCCATTAACTTTGTCCCTAGTGGTCTTCACACCATTGGAGTTTGTTTGTTTGCTTGTTTGTTTTCCTTTTCTTTTCTGGTTTTTTTTAAATAGGGTCTTAATATAGAGTTCAGACTGGCCTGGAACTCAAAATGAAGCCTAGTCTGGCCTCAAACTTATGATCCTCCTGCATCTTTTTCCTGTGCCTCCACCATATCTGGCTATGTTCTGCTTAGTGTTGAACAAAACTTCTTAATTTTTTTGTAATCAAACCCATCAATTATTTGCCTTCTGGTTAATTCTTTTTATCTAAAAAAAAAAAAAAGTTTGTCTGTACTTTCTTCTTCCAACACCAGCCATTCTTTGACTGTTCACATTTAGATCTTTGACCCACCTAGAGTCTACTTTCACATGTGATGTTAGGACCCATGTTTGCTTTTCTCCAGTTTCCCAGAAACATCAAACCTTTCTTTGTTGATTGGTGGTGCCTGCTTTATGGTACATCAAGTCCTACCTTTATTTTGTTTTATTTTATTTTATCTTATTTTGGTGGCCCTGAGATTTGAACTCAGGGCCTCACGCTTGGTAGGCAAGCACTCTACCACTTGAGCCACTCTGCCAGCCCCATGAGTCCTTGTTATGGAACATATATGCCTGTTTACCTGTGAACTTGCTCTTCTGTTTTCTACAGTCTATTCATCTGTTCTGAGGTTTTATCATCCCATCTTGATTACTGTGGCTTTATAGTGTGATTCGTGTCTGATATGGCACATTCTTCTCTTTACTGTTCCTTTTTAAGGTTGACTTTTCTGGCAGTAGACATTTCTTTTCCCACCTGAGTTTATTGAACTCCTCAAAAAAAAAACCTATCTGAGTTGGGCATGGTGGCATACATCTGTATTACCAGAAGTCAGAGGCAGAGTCAGGAGGATGGAAAGCTCAAGGCCAGCCTAAGTTACATATTGAGTTCCAAGCCAGCCTAAACTATGTGGCAAGACCCTGTCTCAAACAAAAAAAAAATTTACCGGGAACTCCGATTAGCATTTTATTGAAATTCTGAGTTCATTTTGGAATAATTGACGTCATGCTAATCATCCTAATAAAGACTATAGGATACCTTCCCATCTCATCCTCTGTGGGTTTTTTTTATTGCTGTGCTGGGATAGGGTACATTGTGGTAATTTACAAACTATGTTTTTTATTTATTTCAAAGTTTTAACCACCCCCACCCCCATGGAACTGTGCTCTTTTCTTAGTTATGTCATTTCCTAGGTCCCTTAGGTTTGGTCGCTATTGTGGATATCTGTTTTTCCTCCTAGCAGTCTGCCAGAGTGTGGAGAGAATGCTGTTGATTTCTGATGAGGCCGACCTTGATGTCCTGCGCCTTCTGAGTCCCAGATCGTCTCACGCTCTCTGGTGATTCCACTGCTTTTCTGGTATGCAGTCATATTAATTGCAAATGTTCTCTTGAACCTGCAGCTTCTTTGTTTCTGTGTGTGGCATCGGTGGGACCTTGAGTGCTGCAAATGATGGACACCCTCATCTTGCTTCTGATCTTAAAAGAACTGTATTTAGAGGTTATCCATTCTGTTTGCTACTTTTGTTGCAGAGTTTGTGTCAGGTTAGGGGATGTTCTTTTATTGATAGTCTCTTAAGAGTTATTCTTAGCATTCTTTTCCATGCTGAACAGCTATGGACCTTTATTAAGTACTTACTAGAAGACCTTGAACCATGCCAGAGGACTCAGCCACATCCCGACCGTTCACAGGGAGAAGCTTGGATAAACAGTGTCAGCTCAGCCAGGGACTCAGAAACCCAATCTCCATTCCCAGCGATTTTTCCTCCTAGGCAGTTCTGGCTGTGTGGAGAAATGCTGTTGATTTCTGTAGGCCGACCTTGTGTCCTGCGACCTTGCTGAGTCCCAGTATCGGTTCTCACGCTGCTCTGTTGATTCCACTGGGTTTTCTGGTATGCAGTCATATTAATTGCAAATGTTCTCTTGAACCTGCAGCTTCTTTGTTTCTGTGTGTGGCATCGGTGGGACCTTGAGTGCTGCAAATGATGGACACCCTCATCTTGCTTCTGATCTTAAAAGAACTGTATTTAGAGGTTATCCATTCTGTTTGCTACTTTTGTTGCAGAGTTTGTGTCAGGTTAGGGGATGTTCTTTTATTGATAGTCTCTTAAGAGTTATTCTTAGCATTCTTTTCCATGCTGAACAGCTATCTTTATTAAAGTACTTACTAGAAGACCTTGAACCATGCCAGAGGACTCAGCCACATCCCGACCGTTCACAGGGAGAAGCTTGGATAAACAGTGTCAGCTCAGCCAGGGACTCAGAAACCCAATCTCCATTCCCAGCGATTTCATGAGCCATCAGCCATAGTGGTCTGATTTTCAAAGAGTGAAGGCTGTGGATTAAATACATATGCTCTGCCTAATTTTGTTACGAATAGAGATTCTCCCGGGTCTCTCTTGAATCCCTGTTTAGAAAACGATTCTCTAAATGGAGTTCTTGTTTTTAATCATTTTCATAATTAAATGTTGCTTTTCTTCTGAACTGATCTTGAACGCTCCTGACTTGATGTGTTCTGCGGTTCTCCACCTCTCTCCAGTGTTCAGTTGCAGGAGCATGTGGCCATTAGCCCAGAGCCAGGGCTCTGATGCCCTGTTGCCTGTGAGGGCACAATTCCCAAGCCTGTGTCTCCAGTTCATGCTTGTTCCTCAAGTCCAGAACCTACTGTTAGCTCTTGTGGCACTTGTTGCTTGGCAACAGCATTGCCAAAGCCAAATCCCTTATCTGTCTCTCTCCAGGTCTCTGCACATTTGTGCTCTGTTCACACAGCCACCTTGTCAGGAAGTCTGTGTGCCGTGTCTACTCTCTTCGCCATCCTTATCAAGCACCACACCCCTGAAGCTGTCCTCTGAATCACACTGTCCATGGCTCTCCTTCCCCTGGCCATCTTCTTTTACCTCTCTCACTCCAGTAACCTCAAAAATAACCCCTCAGCCTTGCCCTCATCTCTCTCTCACACACACACACACACACACACACACACACACACGGTCCCCAGTCCCTTCTACACACACACACACACAACACGGTCCCCAGTCCTTCTACAACACACACACACGGTCCCCAGTCCTTCTACACACACACACACACACACACACACACGGTCCCCAGTCCCTTCTACACACACACACACACACACACACGGTCCCCAGTCCCTTCTACACACACACAACACCACACACACACACGGTCCCCAGTCCCTTCTACAACACAACACACACACACACACACACGGTCCCCAGTCCCTTCTACACACACACACCACACACACACACATGGTCCCCAGTCCCTTCTACACACACACACACACACGGTCCCCAGTCCCTTCTACACACACACACACACACACACACGGTCCCCAGTCCCTTCTACACACACACACACACACACACACACACACACACATGGTCCCCAGTCCCTTCTACACACACACACACGGTCCCCAGTCCCTTCTACACACACACACACCACACACACACACACGGTCCCAGTCCCTTCTACACACACACACACACACACACACACACGGTCCCCAGTCCCTTCTACACACACACACACGGTCCCCAGTCCCTTCTACACACACACACACACACACACGGTCCCCAGTCCCTTCTACACACACACACACACACACACACACATGGTCCCCAGTCCCTTCTACACACACACACACGGTCCCCAGTCCCTTCTACACACACACACACACACAACGGTCCCCAGTCCCTTCTACACACACACGGTCCCCAGTCCCTTCACACACACACACACACCACACACACGGTCCCCAGTCCCTTCTACACACACACACACACACACAAACACACGGTCCCAGTCCCTTCTCACACACACACACACACACACACGGTCCCCAGTCCCTCTACACACACACACACACACACCACACACGGTCCCCAGTCCCTTCTACACACAACACACACACACACACACACCACACACAGGTCCCCAGTCCCTTCTACACACACACACACACACACGGTCCCCAGTCCCTTCTACACACACACACACGGTCCCCAGTCCCTTCTACACACACACACACACACACACACACGGTCCCCAGTCCCTTCTACACACACACACACACGGTCCCCAGTCCCTTCTACACACACACACACACACACACACACACACACACACACACACGGTCCCCAGTCCCTTCTCCCCAGTGTTCTTTCTGAAAAAGAGCCCAAAACTCAGTGGCTCCTAATGTCTTCAGAGTCTTCACACGCTCTGTCATTAGGCGGGCCATAGAGTCTAGCATCTAAACGGAGACACTTAAGAATGGAAGGGGCGGTACTACTAATAATATCAATGCAGGAATGACAGGCATGAGCTGTCCCAGGAGTCAGGGGGTCTTCTCACCTTGCATGGAAGGTCCTTGTCACCTGAGCCCTACCTGCCTCTCCACTACACACTTGAGCCTCTGGCATCCTCAGACCTGCCAGTGTCCTCTCACCACCCATCTCCACTCCAAGTGCTGTCAGGCCCCTTCTACCTCCAGGCCTCTGTACCACTGTCACTGTGCAGTGTCATGCCTACTCCTGTGTCTTCTCAAGGTCACAGAGCTAGAACTTTTTTGTTTTGTTTTTTTGCACTGTTGGGGATCAAACCTAGGACCTTACACATGCTAGGCAAGTGCTCTACCACTGAGCTACTCACCCGGCCCAGAGTTTAGCTCTTACAGCCTTAAACAGGCATCTTCAAAGCCCAACACAGGGCTATTTCCTTGCAGCATCCTCTCCCTGCTCCTTGCCTGTCCCAGGTAATACTATATCTGCACCAACCAGGGTCCTATGCAGTGGCTGGCACAGGAAATAAACATTTGTTCAATTGGGTTGGAGCTATTAGCTGTCCAGTGTTTTGTAAACTTAGAAATATAGTTCTTTTTAGCTCTCCATTATAAATACTTCATTTTTAGTTTGTTTATTCTTTTTTTTTTTTAACTGTTTTTGAGACAGGGTCTTGCTATATGTATATTTATGTAACCCAGGCTGGCCTGGAAATCATGACCCTCCTGCCTCCACCTCTCAAGTGCTGGGATTACAGGCATGTGCCACCACACCCAGCTTCCTTATGTTTTAATATAGATGTTTTTACATTTACTCATTAACTCAGTATTTATTTTGCATGTTTATTAATTAGACCTCATTATTGGGTTACCCAATATAGGTACACAGCTGGGAACAGAGCCAAATCCCTCCCCTAGGGGAGCCTCGAGTGGAGAAGATGAGCAGTAAGCATACAATGAGTAATATATCAAGTAGCCATGACTGTGTGGAAGGAAAGGGAGCAGATGGACGGGGTGCTATTATAGGTAGATTGATGTGAAGAGCTTCCTGAAATGGCATTTGAGCAGATTTGAGCCTCATGGGTGGGAGAGGAGCCTTCCAGGTCCATGGAGCACCAAGTGTAAAGGCTCAAAGATGGTGACTTGCTTGTCATGAAGGCTAAGGCAGAGCGGGGGTAGAGCCATGTCACACGGGGCCCAACCAGCATGACCAGGACTTTGCATTTACAAAGGAGCATCTCTCAGGGACAAGGGAAGAGGCACAGTATGACTGCCTTTAGAGGATGCACAGTGGGGTTTAGGGAGAGGCAGGGAGACTGGGTGCAAGGCTGTGGAAGGACTCGGGCAAGAAGCCAGCTTCAGCTAGGATGGTAGTGTTGGAAAATGAGAGATGCCAAGGGGTTCGGATTTATCGTCAGGGCAGAGCTGGTGAGATTTGCTGATGGAACCAGTGGATATTGTAAGAAGGAAAAGCCAAGGATAACTCTGATGTTGGCTGTGCGTGGGTCGTTGGGAGAGTGAAGGGGTGTTCACATATAGTCCCTTCAGCGTGGGAGCTATTAACTGGGGGGACAGTCCCCTAGGTCAGTTCCCTGATGTGTGTGATCAGTGTGGAGGCTGAGAGCTTGGCCCCATGAGAAAATAAGGGAGTCAGTCAGGGAAGCAGTGCAGAGGACTGGGGAGGTGGGAGGTGTTGGAACAGGAATGGGGCCAGTTGGCAAGTCCCCGCAGCCTGCCCCTCTGACCCCCACCCAAAGGAGCCTCCAGAAATCCTAGTTGGGATGCTGAATGCTTTAATTTGGCTTGTAATTTTCATATATATTTTTTGATTTACTTATGACCACCAAGACAGCCCTTCTGATTTTAATAATTCTAGTAGAAACATAAATAGGATGTTAATTCATTTGTTTAATAATTCTTCCTGTATATATCTTGTAATTTAGTTGTTAGCTCTACAGGATATGGAAACTCATTTTCTAATTTTTTTTTTTAATTTGAAGATAATGTCAGTGTTGGGACAAGATTAACTGCAGTGTGACAGCATGTGCCATTTTCAGTGTCATGGCACACAGTAAAGTTTTGGAGCATATGGTTTGAGCTAGGGTGCAGTAGATACTGTTTAGCAATCATTTGACCCCTACCTTTATTACTGAGCACCCAAGGGTAAATGAGATCTTAAATCTGAAAGATTCTTAATTTGATGAAGGTCCATCCTGCAAGGGTCATAAATTGTGATACATACTGTTTGGTTTGTTTGTTGCTTTCTAAACTGGGCTAGCCCTTCTATATAAAAAAAGATGTTTGTACCAAAACTTAGAAAAAATAAGTCACTCATAAAACAAATATATGAGCTAAAACTCATTCAGCAATTGTGTGACTGTACTTTTTGTAAATCAGCCCAAGTACCCCACTTTAAGTAGCCCCATCTATCTGTCTGGCTGTCACAGAGAGAGTGATGAACTCGCAAGTAGGCTTGCAAAATCCTGGATTTTTTTTTTTCTGTTTCTAATAAAACTGTGTTGAGAATTCCTTTGAGGAAAGTGTTGGCTTTGTGTTTAGAGAATACTACATCCTTCCCTTAACAGATATCTATTGTGACTGCTTTGTGCCAGCCACAGCCCCAGTCCCAAAGAAAACAGCAACAAATGAGAGACCTTTTATTTTGATTTGTTTTTCAAGACATGGGCTATTTAGCCCAGGCTGGACTCCAACTCACGATCCTCCTGCTCCAGGCTCCCGAATGCCAGACATACGCCACCAGCCCCTAGCCTCCAAGAAAGACAGATTCCCTCTACTTCCCTGCAGAGGAAAGAAGACATTGAGCAAACTAGTCTCAGAGTTACTCAATTCCTGCCACACACACCTGGGGGCTTCCTAAATAGACACCCCTAGGCCACGCTTGGCATCAGACTGTTCGAGGAGGGGTGCACCAGGGTCTTCATGGTGACCACACAGTAGGCAGCCCTTGCAAGTGACTACTCAGGTTCCAAGGAATAAGATCCATGTTAGGGTAAGGGTTCCCCTTGGTGTAGAAGGCCTGTGCCCCACAGGGGCTGGTTCCTTATCACAGCGTGATGAGCACAGCTTCCAGAGTCCCCAGCAGGTCATGCCATTCCAAGAATCTCTGCTGTAAAGAAGGTCAAGCCACGGAAAACCCACTAGGAGTTGATAGCTTCTTCCAGTTCAGGTGCAGCTTACCAACGGGGGGTAGCCTGTATGCTGAGCAACATTTGACCTTAACTTAAGGTCAAATTTGACCTCAGAAGGAGAATGAGATGTGTTTGCCCTTGACTTACCATTGCTTTGCTCCTAAGTGCTACCCAGGACAAACCAGGGCATGAGGAGTTTGTTACTGCAGACCAAAGCCATTGCTGAGCAGTCTTTCATTCTTCAGCAAATGTTAAGTGCTTTAATCTATCACAGGACACTAATACCCTCCTCTTCATTTTGCAGATCTGTCATGGCGAACCTTGGCTGCTGGCTGCTGGTTCTCTTTGTGGCCACGTGGAGTGACATTGGCCTCTGCAAGAAGCGGCCGAAGCCTGGAGGAGGGTGGAACACTGGGGGTAGCCGATACCCTGGGCAGGGGAGTCCTGGAGGCAACCGCTACCCACCTCAAGGTGGCGGTGGCTGGGGACAGCCTCATGGTGGTGGCTGGGGGCAGCCACATGGTGGTGGTGGCTGGGGGGGACAACCCCATGGTGGTGGTAGCTGGGGACAACCCCATGGTGGTGGCTGGGGACAGCCCCATGGTGGCGGTGGCTGGGGTCAAGGAGGTGGCACCCACAGTCAGTGGAACAAACCCAGTAAGCCAAAAACCAACATGAAGCATGTGGCAGGTGCTGCTGCAGCTGGGGCAGTAGTGGGGGGCCTTGGCGGCTACATGCTGGGGAGCGCCATGAGCAGACCCATCATACATTTTGGCAATGACTATGAGGACCGTTACTACCGGGAAAACATGAACCGTTACCCCAACCAAGTGTACTACAAGCCCGTAGATCAGTACAACAACCAGAACAACTTTGTGCACGACTGCGTCAATATCACGGTCAAGCAGCACACAATCACCACCACCACCAAAGGGGAGAACTTCACCGAGACAGACATAAAGATCATGGAGCGTGTGGTGGAGCAGATGTGCATCACCCAGTACCAGAAGGAGTCCCAGGCTGCTTACTATCAGGGAGGGTCCAGCGCGGGGCTCTTCTCCTCCCCGCCCGTGATCCTCCTCATCTCCTTCCTCATCTTCCTGATAGTGGGATGAGGAAGGCCTTCCTGTTTGCACCTCTTGTCCGTTTTGGTCCAGGTTGGGGGAGGGGGTATCCACCTACAGCCCTTTTAGTGGTGCATCTCATTCTTGCTTCTCTCTTTGTCCCCCATAGGCTAGTACCCTCGACACTGATGGGCACTGGAAAACGTAGAGTAGATCTGATGCTATTTTTTTCAAGATCCCTTTGATTTGAGTCCTTCATAGGCCAGTGCTAATGCTGGGCCAGTAAGAATGTAACAGCAAAGAATCACTGGTTGATCTAGGCTTATTTTTGGTTAGTGCAACAGGTTGAAGGTAAAATGATCTCAAAACAGTCCTCAAATACTTTTGCCTGGATTCCTCTGGTTCCTTCAGCATCCAGAGCTCAGGACACGAGTGCCCCAGCATAGCACTGATTTCATAGAAATTTGGAGACTTTTTTTTTTATCCCTTTTAAGAAAACCTGAGAGCATTTCTGCCAAATCTGGAAAGAGGCCACATGATACTCACAAAAAAGAAAATGCTAGCAATCCTTAGCTCTCGGGCCGCAGGCTCAGCCCACTGGAGCATGTGCCATGTGTCTGTAGAGGGCTGAGGTTTTTGCAGAATGGTCTGCACAGCAGTTGCTGCATCAAGAGTAAATACCGGTGCAACCCCAGACCTCCAGCCAGAGCACATGTCACAGGGGATGCTTGTAACTAAAAGACAAACGCTTCGGGGACTACAAAATGCAGCATTTGAAAATGTGCCCTTGGAGACACTCCCGTTAGGGATCCACGTGTGGTGTTCCCTTCTTCAGTGACATAAACTATAGATAATTAAGACTGTGGAAAAATAATAAATTATCTTCTAAACACCAAAGGCAAATCTCCTTTGTTCATTTCCTGGAAACTAGGATGATTTTAACCATGTTTGGGTAAAACCAGGAAATGTTTAACTCCCAGGAAAGTTGAAGCTGTAAAAGTATGATCCTCCTAAAAGATTACATAATGAAGGAAGTGATTGCACACAAAGAAAAAAGAGCTTATGATTCTTCATTGCGTCTCATAATTGTCAAAAACCAGAATTACAGTGCTTCCTTGATTTCTGTAATTGGTTTGAATCAAAGAACAAGGAGACAATCTAAAAAAAAATCTAAGGTTGCAGATGACAGAAATCTGGTTCATTCCGAGTAGACAAAGATATTCTGTTACTATTGTAAAAGTAAGATACGGTTATTCCCTAAATTGTTCAATATGTCACCTACTAGATATATAGATATAGATATATAGATGTATATATATATTACAACTGCAATGTTACTGGCTTGCACTGTGCAGGTATTCTTTGTAGAAATATATACATATAAAATATATATTGGATATGACAAACCTAGAAGTTTTTGTTGAGAGCCGTTAACATCTGAGACATCTAATGCATTAATCGTTTTGTAAGGTACTGAATACTCCACACATGAGAACCTTTTTGTGTGGCCCTTAGGCTTACAATGTGCACTCAATAGTTTTGTATGAGAATCCAAAATGAACACCTTAACTGGTGTTTGCAGTATGCATGTACTTTACATTTTCTATATTTGTAACTTTGCATGTCCTTGTTGTTGTATAAAAATTTGTAAATGTTTACTATCTGACTGAAATTAAACAGGGGCTAAGATGAGCACCGCCCAAGAAGTTTGTGATTGGTTTCACTGATGCTGGAGGGTCCCTGTGGGGTTAACCTGAGTTATGTGGTGTGTTCAGACCCACGCCTGAGGTGATGGCTGATTCCAGTGTCCTGCCCCATCCTTCCCATCACTGACTAGTTTATTTCTGCTGCCTTCTCGTTTTATCTGTGGGTATCTCTAGTGTCCTCAGCCCTGGGTAAACTGCGAAGCCGCTCTTGAGGCAGGAAAAATGTAGTCCTCACGCTCTGGGAGTTTGTTTTGGTTTTTATGGTGCTGGGGATTGAACCCAGGGCCTTGATGCATGTTAGTAAAATTGTGTACCATTGAGCTACACCTCCAGCCCCTATAAATAGATTTTCTTGGTTAAAATGAAACGTAACAAGCTCTGGAGTACCCACTCTGTGCCTTCTTAGCTCAGGGCCTGTGATCCCCAGTGACAGTCACCCTCCTCAGACTTAACACCTTTGGACCAAAAGGCCACCTCCATGTGTCACAATCTGTCACTCATTCTGCATGTTTTCTGCCTTCCTAAGTGTGAGGCACCCTCACTGAGTTGCTCTTCATTATCATTGGTAGAGGTTTACTTCAGCAACTGTAATTTACTAAAGATGAAGTAATCACAAGAAGTGACATTGATGGAAATCAGTGTGAAGATTTTAGCAAAAGCCTATGTTATAAATACACAGCGATTCCCCCCAGCAGGTCTTTAAGCTTCATGGCAACATGGCCAGGGATATGCTACTCAGCATATGGAATTAAAGGGCTTGTGACACTCACAGGTCCTAGAGAGGGCAGCAGAGCCTGCCACACATGCGTGAGAATTTCTCAGGGAGCAACAACCAAGCAGGTTAGGAGCCAAGAGACAGAGCAAGCCCTGGGCAAGTGCCTTCACTGGGGGTCAGGGTGGAGTACACAAACCGAAGACATGGGGGTGGGAAGTCATTGGTGTGTTTGAGAATCACAGGTCAGAGTAGAGAAGAATAAAAAGGGCAACTGGCAGAAACAAACTATCACACTGATGCACCTGTGGCCTGGTATTGGGTGCAGCACTGTTTATAGGGATGTTGAAACATCAGGAAAATAGGAAGCTTTGAAAATGTACAATGCCCTGCCAAGATCTTGGAGTGATCAGGAGATCAACACCCGAGACCCCATCATTCACAAAGCTACAAAATCACATACTAATTCTCAAAAGTATTACTGAGAAATGGACCTCAAAGTTGACCCTTACCCAAAATTTCCAGAACTATCTTCATTCTACCTATTTTTTGCCATTTTCCTAATTATTTAAAATACACCATTATCTGACCATTATAATTTCTCAAAATTACCCACTAAGAAGTCTTGTCATTCAAAGTGTTGGTATTTGTGGGCCCAGAGTGAGTAACGTCTATGTTATCTTTCATAGGCCCCAATGTTTTCTTCCTTTCACCTTTCTCTCCCGGGAGTTGTACCAAAGCAATTTTTACTTAAAACAAGGAAAGAGAGCTGAAGGTGTGAAGTAAGTGGTAGGGCACCAGCTTAGCAAGCTCAAAGCCCTGAATTCAAACCCCAGTACCACCAAAAGTAAATAAATTTGTAAGCATAATTAATTTTTTAAAAACACAGCTGAGTCTAACCCCCAGAGAGGGTTCTTCCAAAGAACTGTCAGGTGCTGACTTTGTTTCTCTTCTTCCCCACTACGGATGAGGCTAAAAACATGTCCTTTGCCTTTGGAGAGACATTTGGGGTTGTACTGCTTCCCACTGTAGTGGGAGCCTTAACCCAGAACCCCAGATTCTCTAGATCCAGGGACTGACCTTGCCAACTGACCTGAGTGTTCCGTAATTCATTTCCACCTAAGAAAGGTGCCTTCCGTTCTGACCCCCCAGAATTCCTCCCCTGAGACTCAGCTCATTGTCCACTAACCTCTATTTCCATCTTAGGCCCCTCTTATGAGTTCTGCACATGTTCTTCAGGGAAGCTACACTTGGTCACATGCCTTTGTAGAACTCTCCCTTCCTTCTTGGCCTACAGCAGGGCTCCTTGAACTCAAATGTGCACATGAACCAACAGGTACAGACTGACAGGTCTTCTAACTCCTAGAAGATGCTGTGCTGGACTTGTGGGCCACCCTGTAGCAAGGCTTTGGGGGCTCCCATATTGGAATCCTTATCAGAAACTTCTGGAGAGCTCATTAAACAAAGAGGGCCAGGCGCTGGTGGCTCACATCTGTAATCCTAACTATTCAGGAGGAGGAGATTAGGAGACTCCAAGTTTGAAGACAGCCTGGGCAAATAGCTCATGAGACCCTATCTCAAAAATATCCAACACAAAAAAGGGCTGGCAGGGTGGCTCAAGTGGTAGAGCACCTGCCTAGCAAGTGTGAGAACCCTGAGTTTAAGCCACAGTACTGCCAAAAAGAAAAACCACACAGAAGGCCAAGCCCCACCCCAGAGTTTCTGATTTCCAAATACTGAGGTGGGGCCTGAGAATTTGCATATCTAACAAATTCCCAGGTGATCTTGGATGCTGCTGGTGTGGACATTACACAGGGAAATCCGCTGCTCTAAAGGAAAATGCAAAGAAATAGAAGGCTGCCTGGCCCTGAAATGCTCACAAAGCCATTGCAGAGACAGAAAGCTGCCTGGGAGCCAAGATGCTGGGGGTTCTCTTAGAAGGAGGAGAAAACTGGGGTAAATGACAACAGGGGTAAAAAGGGGGATTAACGCCTGCTGTCTGAAAAGCATGAAGCTCAGCAGAGTGCTGAGGGCCACAGTTAGCAAGAGATTCAACTAAACCTGGGATGGTCGCCCTCTACACCTGAGTCACCTGAGGATGTTAAATACAGATTCTGAGATCACAGGTCTGAGGGGGGCTCATAGATTGGGCAGCTATACAAGCTCCCAGATGACTTTATGCTACTGGTCTGAGAACCACAGCTGAGAAACAAGGTCCTAAAGGCCCAGGTCATCCTGGGGCACTTTTCAAACCCTGGGCAGGCATTTGGGGAAGCATAGAGGGCTTGGGATCTGGCAGGGGGTCTTCACCTTCTCTAGTTTCTAAGTGCTGCAATCCCACCTAGGCCCAATCAATTGGGGCAGCCCCCTGCAGGCAGTGGAGCTCTGTAGCTTCTCCTCTCCCAGTGCTAGCATGGTCAGCTGACTACCCCTGGAGGACTCCCAGGAAGATTCAAGCCCCTGCTGCAATGCCTTCTCCCAGACTCCCAATTTTCTTGGACCTTCAGCAGACTTTCTTGTTCTGTAGAGATTACCCACAATTCCCACAAGATAAAAGGATTTGGAAGGTGTCTTCTCCAAGATGGTTATGGACCTGTGGGCCTCAGGGTGGCACATGTGAGGTGGATAGTCACTTTCTATTCAGACTAAGAATTAGAGGGGTAGTCTCTTCTTAAAAATCATTGACCTATAGAAAGAGGTGTTCGCCTCTCACCAGGTGAAAATGACTGATCCCCAGGGCTGCTACTTCTGGGTTCAGCATTTCCTGATGCTCTGGCTGCCCAATGGGGCAAGGATTTAGGCTTCTGAGGCTGCCACTCTCCCACACAGCCCCAGGCTGTGTCACCTTTGCCTGAGACACTGGTTTCTACACATAGTCCTCAGACCCAGGAAACCCTTTGTGCTTTAAAAGGTCCCCCAAAGTGTCCCCTCAGATCTCATTGTCCTCTCCCTAAACCACATTTGAGGGACAAGGACATTGGAATTTTCTCTTCCAAAGTCAACTCCAGGGCCTATATAGGCCTCTTCTCTGTCAGTCCTCCTCTGGGTGGACTACACTACAGGTTTACACATCTCAGTGTCCTAGAGGTAGCCAAGGAGTGGCTGTTTGGGGAAGAGGGCTACAGAGAGAGCTTGAACAAGTGGGCCTGGGTGTCCACACACTGAAGGTCCTTACAAGACACAGGATGCATCATGGTGGGAAGAGATGGGGTAGACAGGAAGCCTCCCTTAGGACTCTTCCTCCAGGACCTGCAAATGCTAGGGGCTGCCCTGCCCCAAAGCTTCAGGAGGGGAAAGAAGTGAAGGATCTTACAGTGAAGTCATTACTTCTTACAAATGTCCCAAGTCATGAAAATGGTTTGATTTGCTTGTTTGTTTTTTAAGAGCAGGTCTTTCTATGTAGCCCAGGCTGGCCTCAAACTAGAGATCCTCCTGCCTTAGCTTCCAAAATGCTGAAATTACAGGCATGAGCCACACACTCCCTTATGGTCTTTTTAAAGGGCTTGGGGCATGGCTCAAGTGGTAGAGCACTCGCTAGCAATCCCCGATACTACAAAAAAAAAAAGTGTTCTTCACAAGGTGGAAGTGATCGTGTTAGTTTAGGTTCAGGCCTTGGTTCTCCCAAGACACCTCTGGCCCCTACACATCAAATAGACTTTCACACTGTTGCCTCCCAGCCAGTTCCCTGCCCTGGACGGCTGCTCCTCACCTTCCTCCCAGGACCTCCCCATCCAGTTACCCCAGTTACACCCATGCTTCCAAGCACCTTCCTGTGAACCTCTAGAAATTAACCAGTACTGCAGAGATTTCTTGTACCGTGTGTGTCAGTCAGACTTTGTCACTGTGACAAATACCTGAGAGAAACAGTTGAAAGGAGGAAAGATTTCTTTTGTCTCGCTGTTTCAGGTTTCAGTGCATGGTTGCTTGGCTCCATTGCTGTGGGCGTGTGATGAGGCAGAGGATCATGATGGAGAGGGGGTAGTGGAGCAAAGCTGTTTACCTCATGGTTGTCAGGAAGCAGGGACAGACAGACAAGAAGGAGTCAGGGCAAGATGTACCCTTCAAATACACACCCCCAGTGACCCACTTCCTCCAACCAGGCCCCACCTCCTACTAGCCCATTCAGAAGGAATTCATTAGGGGATTAAGTCATCACTAAGGTTAGGACCCTCACCTCTCAATAGTGTCACCAGGTGGAGACAAGCTTTTTGTCTGGGTTTAGTCTTATACTAGGATTCTCCCAATCTCTACCTCCCAAGAAGCTAGTGAGCCACCACACACTGCTCAGAAATTGCTTTTATAAGGAAAAAAAGATGGGCAGGCATGGTGGCTCATGTCTACAGTCCCATCTACTCAGGAGGCAGAGATCAGGAGAATAGTGGCTCGAGGTCAGCCTGGGTAAAAAGTTGAGACCCCATCCCAACAAATAAGCCAAGCAGTGGTTCACATCTATAATCCCAGCTACACAGGAGACATCAGTAAGAAGATTACAATCTGAGGCTAGTCCAGGCAAAAACTCAACACCCTACCTGAAAAATAACTAAAGCAAAAAAGGGCTGGAAGCATGGCTCAAAAGGTAGAGGGACTGCCTAGCAAAATAGAGATCCAAAGTCCAAACCCCAGTACTGCCAAAAAAAGAAAAGAGATGACCACATGTCAGTGCCCATGTCCTGTACTTGACCTTATCAGATCTTCATAATAATATCCAACTTAGAAAGCTAACATCCAGAAATACTCACAATGTCACCTGCCCAAGGGCAAGCGGTTATTCTG